CCCTCTCTCTCTCCCTCTCCCTCTCTCTCCCTCTCTCTCTCCCTCTCCCTCTCTCTCCCTCTGTCTCTCCCTCTCTCTCTCCCTCTGTCTCTCCCTCTCTCCTCTCTCTCTCCCTCTCTCTCTCCCTCTCTCTCCCTCTCTCTCTCTCCCTCTCCCTCTCTCTCCCTCTCTCTCTCTCTCTCTCTCTCTCTCCCTCTCTCTCCCTCTCTCTCTCCCTCTGTCTCTCCCTCTCTCTCCCTCTCTCTCTCCCTCTCCCTCTGTCTCTCCCTCTCTCTCCTCTCTCTCCCTCTCTCTCCCTCTCTCTCTCCCTCTCCCTCTCTCCCTCTCTCTCCCTCTGTCACTCCCTCTCCCTCTCTCTCCCTCTGTCTCTCCCTCTCTCTCTCCCTCTCCCTCTCTCTCCCTCTCTCTCCTCTCTCTCCCTCCCTCTCCCTCTCTCTCCTCTCTCTCCTTCTCTCTCCCTCTGTCTCTCCCTCTCTCCTCTCTCTCTCCCTCTCTCTCTCCCTCTCTCTCCCTCTCTCTCTCTCCCTCTCCCTCTCTCTCCCTCTCTCTCTCTCTCTCTCTCCCTCTCCGTCTCTCTCTCTGTACTGCATTAACTGACTCCCTGATTTGATCACGTGTACTATGACATTACCATGATGTGAAATTAATTACAGACAACAATTCCTTCATTTGTGAACTAAAGATGTTACTTGTTTGGGTACAGCACATGGCTGAAGACATGCGTGTTTAGACGCCAAGGTGCGCTTACAGCAATACAACACCATCGAAATAAACATCACGAATCCATGAAGACGACAACCATAGGGAAGCTACAAATATTTGGACAACATGAGGATTGTCAGGGTAATTTATGACGGGATTTTATTTACAGTCTCACAAGCAATATGGTTCAGCTTACTGTTTGATGCATTAAGATAAGGTGTACAGACAGACAGTTATCACTTCTAGCGCATTCATCGCGGTATTCGGTGTTGCTCCTGGCCATGTGGAATATAATCTTCACGCCTATGGGTGAATTTTGCACGGGTTACACAGAAATCCTCTCTTACAACGATAAGCTAAGGCCAAACGAACGGGTGAATTATTTATATTTATTACTGTGGTGTTAATAGAGGACGATTAACAGTGTATTTTCGGAACATTAATGTACGAATTCATAAAAGAACGAAATGAAAATAAATGAAATCCCCCTGATTAGCCTTGCTTCAAGTCTCTACTAAAAGGATAAAACTATGGATATAGTAATTCTATCCTTATAATAGGCAAGTCTACATAAGAGGACAATACTGGACGCCAGTCTCATATAGGGACAAATTATTCTTATTTTTTTATATAATTTAGGCATTATGATTTAATCTTATAGTTATTGTGCAAGTCTACGGTCCTGAATTCTCCACCATGATTTTACCGCTTACTGACACATTGCATGACAAGCCCGTGCATGCAGTGCTGCAGAATGCTGTGATTGGTCGCTAGTCTCCTTTGGCCAATGTTTTGTGCACACGTCATATGTGAGTTGGCTATTGCTCCTATGCGTGTCAGCAATATTACAGCTATAACACAGTACTAATCGAATCTGTACAAGACAACCGATGGTTGATAGAATGAGCACCTAGCCACGCAGTCGGTATCGCATCATGAAACTTGGTATGTTAACGACCTCCCTGCAATGTGTGCAGGGTCTACTTGCACAAAGCGATCTTAGCGCTACGACTGTTGTATTTGTAAGTCTATGTTACGGTATTGGAGTATTGAGGGCTAAGATCGCTTTGTGCAAGTGGACCTAGCACACACTGGGGTTTCCATGGTAAACACATGGCCGTAATCTCTATACGAACACATGGTCATTGGTAATATTTGTTTGTTGCTTACGCTGTACTCGACAATATTCTAGCAATATGACGTAATATCTGTAAATAATTGAATGTGGAGCGGACAATCCGTAGATCGATATCATGAGCACTATCCATGCCGTCGGGGTACGATGACACATCACTTTACGCGTACGTGAACGCGAGTATAAATTCGCTGAACTCGATCGTTCACAAATTGATTTAAATGGATTTCGCGAATGAATTCAAACGTTTACGTCGCTGTCTTTCAAAGGGGATTCGAACCTAAGTCTTCGAACAGACGAACGACACTTTAACAACTTCGCTACCTAACACTCTTTAAGGACCCGAAATAAATCTTAATGTTCCTTGCCATTTTTAACACGCTATCATTGCGTGGGTAACTGTAAAACTGTCAGATAACACCCAAAAAACAAAACCGCAATATTATGTTAGGGATGAAAGATACGTCAAACGAACGCGTGAAAGCTTCAAGGCAATCGAAGTGAAAAACCTTTCCAAACTGTCACATGTCGACGAATATCTTAAAATATAATTTTCACTTTCTTGATTTTATCATATTATTTTTTTTCGGCTTAGAAAACGTTTCATGATATCTATGCAATGCGTCCCACTTTATTTAATTCGTATAACATGAAAAAATAACATCTTCCAATTTGAACGTAAGGGAAATGTTAGACGGTTGGGTATTAGAAGAAAGACCAACATTTACAAACCTTTGTTAAGAAGGTGTTTCGACTAAAACATGATGAAGTTTATGCGAACATGATCTGTGAAAACATCCTTTGTGAAACACTGCAGACTTTATATATAGCCCCTAGTCACACGGGTTATAACGCTAAACGAGGTACTCGGTCTCGGCATGATATGTTTTGTTAGGCAGGGCGCGGCGATGATGTGGACAGATAACGCTGTGGTTGTGTCGGTGGAGTTGGCTACTCCTGTGCTGTAACGCACGCCGGGGCAGCGAACCATCCTTCTTATAAAAACATGGTTGTCTCTGAGTCGGAAAAATGCTGTTCGTGGGTGGATCTGTGCTGTGCGGGTTGTTTACTTTGACATCTACTGTTCTTTTTTTATAGCTTTTGGTCTCCATATACCTGTCGAGTAATAATTGTGTTTTTTATGTTACTGACTTATGACGTAGGTATGTTCTTTATTTGAACGTTCAGCAAGCTCTTTGCGTATTCATATAATGGGAGGGGGAGGGGCTCTATCCCCGCCATCGGTTGTCATAATTGTCTTCACCGAGGTCAAAACATTCGAAAATGTTCTTAAGTGAGAATCTGGAAAATTATCCGTTAAAACGTATCATATTGAAAAAATCTTTAATTAAAAAAACACAAACAACAACATTAAAAATCAAAAATTGAAAATAAGAATATTTAAAGAAAATGTTTTTGTTTTCTAAAGATTCAAAGCAGGCTCATTTGTGCAACAAACAGTAACATTGGCCTGGCTTGTAAATGTCCCAGAGCGGCAGCACTACGGGTTTTCCACCCGCACCAGGTGAGTAGTTTGTATAGTAGCATCGATGCGGTCCATAGCTTCTGAAACACAAGTTGCAATAAAAGGCCTTCAACGATCCATCGAACAACACATTTTGAATAGATTCGAGTAATTTGAAATAAAATCAGTTATCACTTTTGATTTCATAGAAATCTTATATGACATAAATTTGGATATGAGAGATGGGTTGGGGTACACACTTCCCAACTGATTGTTTCAAGACATAATTATTGCAAGATATATATTACTCAAGGACCGCCCGATACTTTTGTGTTACAAAAGTTAATCTTCTTAGTAGTACATCACAGGAATTTACCTGGTTCTTTCGATTTTCGAATCCTAGGGACGCTCAGTAATAGATTATAGAGATCTAAGACCTGAACATGGAGGCCTAAGACCTGAACGTGGAGGTCCAAGACCTGAACATGGAGGCCTAAGACTTTAGCATGGACGTCCAAGACCTGAACATAGAGATCTAAGACCTGATCTTGCAGATCCAAAACCTGAACATGGAGGTCCGAGACCTGAATATGGGACTTCATGGCCTGAACATGGAGGTCCAAGACCTGAACATGGAGGTCCAAGACCTGGACATGGATGTCTAAGACCTGAACATGGATGTCCAAGACCTAAACATGGATGTCCAAGACCTGAACAAGGAGGTCCAAGACCTGAACATGGATGTCCAAGACCTGAACAAGGAGGTCCAAGACCTGAACATGGATGTCCAAGACCTGAACAAGGAGGTCCAAGACCTGAACATGGAGGTCCGAGACCTGAATATGGAGGTTCATGGCCTGAACATGGAGGTCTAAGGCCTGAACATAAATCCAAGACCTGAACATGGATGTCCAAGACCTGAACATGGATGTCCAAGACCTGAACATGGATGTCCAAGACCTGAACATGGAGGTCCAAGACCTGAACATAAAGATCCAAGACCTGAACATGGAGATCCAAGACCTGAACATGGATGACCAAGACCTGAACATGGATGTCCAAGACCTGAACATAGAGATCCAAGACCTGAACATGGATGGACAAGACCTGAACATGGATGGACAAGACCTGAACATGGAGGTCCAAGACCTGAACATGGAGATCCAAGACCTGAACATGGATGGACAAGACCTGAACATGGAGGTCCGAGACCTGAACATAGAGATCCAAGACCTGAACATGGATGGCAAAGACCTGAACATGGAGGTCCAAGACCTGAACATGGAGGTCTAGGGCCTAACATGGGTGTCCAAGACCTGAACGTGGAGATCCAAGACCTGAACATGGAGACCCAAGACCTGAACATGGATGGCCAAGACCTGTACATGGAGGTCCAAGACCTAAACATGGATGTCCAAGACCTGAACATGGAGGTCCGAGATCTGAATACGGAGGTTCATGGCCTGAACATGGAGGTCTAAGGCCTGAACATAGAGATCCAAGACCTGAACATGGATGTCCAAGACCTGAACATGGAGGTCCAAGACCTGAACATGAAGATCCAAGACCTGAACATGGATATCCAAGACCTGAACATGGAGGTCCAAGACCTGAACATGGATGTCCAAGACCTGAAATAGAGATCCAAGACCTGAACATGGAGGTCCAAGACCTGAACATGGAGGTCCAGGGCCTAACATGGGTGTCCAAGACCTGAACGTGGAGATCCAAGACCTGAACATGGAGATCCAAGACCTGAACATGGAGGTCCAAGACCTGAACATGGAGGTCCAAGACCTGAACATGGATGGCCAAGACCTGAACATGGATGGCCAAGACCTGTACATGGAGGTCAAAGACCTGAACATGGAGATCCAAGACCTGAACATGGATGGCCAAGACCTTAACATTGAGATCCAAGACCTGATCATGGAGATCCAAGACCTGAACATAGAGATCCAAGACCTGAACATGGATGTCCAAGACCTGAACATAGAGATCCAAGACCTGAACATGGAGGTCCAAGACCTGAACATGGAGGTCCAAGACCTGAACATGGAGGTCCAAGACCTGAACATGGAGGTCCAAGACCTGAACATGGAAGTCCAAGACCTGAACATGGAGGTCCAAGACCTGAACGTGGATGTCCAAGACCTGAACATGGAAGTCCAAGACCTGAACATGGAGGTCCAAGACCTGAACATGGATGGCCAAGACATGAACACGGAGGTCCAAGACCTGAACATGGAGGTCCAAGACCTGAACATGGAGGTCCAAGACCTGAACATGGAAGTCCAAGACCTGAACATGGAGGTCCAAGACCTGAACGTGGATGTCCAAGACCTGAACATGGAGATCCAAGACCTGAACGTGGATGTCCAAGACCTGAACGTGGATGTCCAAGACCTGAACATGGAGATCCAAGACCTGAACATGGAGATCCAAGACCTGAACATGGAGATCCAAGACCTGAACATGGATGTCCAAGACCTTAACATTGAGATCCAAGACCTGATCATGGAGATCCAAGACCTGAACATAGAGATCCAAGACCTGAACATGGATGGCCAAGACCTTAACATTGAGATCCAAGACCTGATCATGGAGATCCAAGACCTGAACATAGAGATCCAAGACCTGAACATGGATGTCCAAGACCTGAACATAGAGATCCAAGACCTGAACATGGAGGTCCAAGACCTGAACATGGAGGTCCAAGACCTGAACATGGAGGTCCAAGACCTGAACATGGAGGTCCAAGACCTGAACATGGAAGTCCAAGACCTGAACATGGAGGTCCAAGACCTGAACGTGGATGTCCAAGACCTGAACATGGAAGTCCAAGACCTGAACATGGAGGTCCAAGACCTGAACATGGATGGCCAAGACATGAACACGGAGGTCCAAGACCTGAACATGGAGGTCCAAGACCTGAACATGGAGGTCCAAGACCTGAACATGGAAGTCCAAGACCTGAACATGGAGGTCCAAGACCTGAACGTGGATGTCCAAGACCTGAACATGGAGATCCAAGACCTGAACGTGGATGTCCAAGACCTGAACGTGGATGTCCAAGACCTGAACATGGAGATCCAAGACCTGAACATGGAGATCCAAGACCTGAACATGGAGATCCAAGACCTGAACATGGATATCCAAGACCTGAACGTGGAGGTCCAATGCCTGAACATGGATGTCTAAGACCTGAACAATTCGAGAGAACAAATTGAGAGATTTTTTTACCACAAAAGAAATGTCAGTCGTATGTGACATGCAATCTACAACTTTGAGTTTCATGATTCAATCAGACATAATTTATGCGCCCCACGCGGCTTTCCAGTGTAACTTATTTGCGTCTATCCTCAGTTAGTGCGCGTATTAGACGCATAATGTTTCGCCCTGTTTTAAAACCCCGGATGTAAGGGGCACCTAAACCCTGCGCCATGTGTATATGTACAAACGTATTTTATAAAACCAAAACTAATCTAGATTATAAAAACATGCAAGTCTAGCCAGCTCTATGAAATCAGCACCGGGAGAAAAAAATAGAGGCGATAAATATATTGTCTAAAAAAGGATTTCATAGACTCTATGTTAGTCGATGGAAACCTATGGGTGTACATATTTAATTTATGAACGGGTGATGCTAACTCATGTATTGATACAGGAGCCGCTACAGTTGTGGCCTGTGCACTTCCTGTCTGGGCACTGCGGAAGTGGATATATGACAATGCGGAAGATGTTTAGTGCATAACCAGCTGAACAAATATAACGTTAACTTCTGTCGGAAATATTAATAAAACGTCCGTCGGTTCAGAACCTGTGGTCATAAAATGGCAAGATTGAAACAGCTAGCTTTAATGTATTTCCGACACAAGGTTGATGAGTTTATGCAAATACCCTCACGAACAGTGTTATAATGGTTTGTAAGCTATACACAGATGTACAATATAATGTCAGAGAAATATAAACACGAGTCCGACGAATGTATTAGGGGAATGAAATAAGAGTAGATATCAGTTCTGAGGAGGGTACGCGTTATCTACAGTCCCCCCGTTGCCCCTCCTGGTGGATATGGCTGTGTACAGATGTCCGAACGGGAGGGGGGTAACGGGAGGTAAAGCGTTAGTCAGGCAGTCGGCACTGCTAGGCCCGTGTGTGAGGGAGCCGGGAAGCGCTTGGCAGTAACATCTAACGGTTGAGCCGGATCAACCCCTGCGGCCATCGGACAGGAATGTTTGAACAGTGAGGTTCGAGGGTGGACGGGAGTTATTCACAGTGACCAGGGGATGTCTGGCGTCGCAACACGCACCACGTGTTTTTTATGAAAAAAACGTTGAATACTTGAAAAAAAGGTGTTAACATGGGAGTTAAAGACCTGTTTGGATATTTGAAAAAACGGGCAGGATTTGTGTCAATATTTGTGTTGTGTTTGTGGACTTGTCGGACTACGTCATCACCTGTCTGTGAGCCCGTTACGCTGTCCCACTGCGTCAACATCGTCAACACGACGCAGCTTCCCAACCTCTACGGCGACTACACTCAAGATGACGTCGACGTAAAGACGTCACGTCTGTTCCGGATTTTAGGATCTCAGTGTACGACGTTTAATCGGTTTCTATGCGTCTTATACCTACCCCCGTGCCCCGACCCCCACAGACGTCCCCCGGGGGTCCTACCCCTCCCTTGCAGACAGGTGTGTGAGGGGGCGAGGGAGGAATGTAACGGCGTTATGGCTGACAATGGCATGAAATGGCCCTATGAACTTCAGTGCCATGCCTTCCCAACAGAGAACTGTGTTATTGTTCATGGTAAGTGGTCTTCGGTATCAAAAGCATGCTTCCTTTTCATGTCGGCTTAATTTCAGGATTATATATGACTTTCCTGTGTAGGAGAATATAACAATAATTTACGCCGTCGGAAGATCAAGAACATAAGGAGATACGGCAGATTAACAATGAGCCATTACGCTGTATACACATCTAACACGTGCACTTCTATCGCACTATGGTATTAACGATAAAATTGTACAAGCATCCTCGAACGAATACGCGTTTATACGGCGATGTAAATCATGATTTGATTATTGAGTGTTAAACTGGGTCGAGGAGACTAAGTACGTGGTCCTGATGATGGTTAAAGAAGATGAGTGGATAGCAACTGACAGCAGTGATGATTACCTGATTCCCTTTGTATGAACGAATCAGCTGTTATTATTTATGACTGGTGCCAGTCAGCTATACATCAACAGCACGGGCAGCCCTAACGGCATCGTCGTATCTGATGCGTAGGCTCTAATCCCTTAAGTTGACTCACTTGAAAAAAGTAAATCTACAAAGTACTCAAAATAAGTTTGTATCTCCTCCGTTACAAGACAATTATTTAAGAACAAATATCCAAACTATACACATTTATTGTTTTGAAATGCCTATTGCATGAATATGTCGGAAAACAATTTAATAAAAGGACAAGTTTTTTATTTCAAATTTAATTTAATGAAATCTAACAAATGGTGTTTGGATTCAAATACTGTAACAATTGCCCTCACCATCTCGGACGTTATTGAGAGCTGTGCTCCATGGGGTAGACTAACATTTAGTCTCTGAAATCTTATATCACACAATATCCTTCTTGACTCTAAAAAAAATAAAAAATACCCTATGCTGATTTAAGTGGAATAGTGCTAGCTTGAGCTGGCTAGACTTGCTTTTGTATGCATTTCTAGATTAGTTTTTTTAATATAATAAATATATTCCACGGTCATGGTGCAGGACTATCCATGGGGCTGTTGGTGGTCTTAAGTGAGGGTAAACCAATTTTGTTTCTGGTTTTCCTTTTTATTTCGAAATACATCTGTATAAGAAGTAGACGTAGAGCTGTCCAAAACAGTACACGGCGAGAGACAGATCCACGTGTTGTCAGCTGTATAGTTCTGACTATTGCCTTTCTGCACGTGAGAGTAATTCTAGGGGGAAAGGACCACATCTGTTTATTTGCCTTCGGAAGTCTACTAAACGCCGCGGCAATCAAGATCCTCCTATTTACTGGGGTGAACTCTTACAGACCAGGCCGTCATAATTTATCGTCATATATCAGATCTAGCAGAAACCCGACTGATTTCAGCAATTTCCTTCCATACGATGTGGCTCGCATGAACAAAGGTCATGTATTTCACGAACACGGCTTTGTCCTGTATGGTTTGATTAAAACAAAATACCCGACATTTTTCTCCGTCAATAATGTTCAGGTTGGGGAGTTATGCAATGGAAGTATTTAGCCGAGCTAAAAGCAAGTATGAAGGAACTCGTGAAAGGCTTTTAAATATTATTAACTCGATTGGAATTTGTGCATAAAACATTAGTTATAATTGAAAACCGAGCCACGCTCGTTCATCTCTGCCGCCTGTTTCAATAAAATGTCATGGCATTTGGTTTATTATAGCATTTGTCGCACAGGATACATGTTTAAAATCTGGTAAAAATTAAATCGGTATATAACCAGTGACCTCCCTATGCACCCCCACCCCCTCACACCCCCACCCCCCACCCCCTCACACACACACCCGACCCCCAGCCACTAACATGTTTATTGTTTTATTATCCTTTATCTTCCCCCCCCCCCCCCCCCCCCCCCCACCACAGCAATTCTCACTCGCCCCTCGAAACCTAGCACCACTGTCTTTTCAAAGTAACTTATCATTAATTGTGCGGCATTTAGATCAAGAAAGGTTAGGGAGTAATGGTTATTTTATATGATAAATATCTCGGACGTTTATTCCGCCCGTGCCTAAATATTTATCTTGTGTTGTGCGTCATACGACTGTAATCTAACACACATATACATAAAATACCTTCACTGAATCCAATATATACATACACGGCTGTTGTGGGTAGATATTGATTGTGCCGCGTCAAACACGTGTATAGATGAATCATGTTTTCAAACTAAAAAAACCACCAAGGATTACTCACAGCGAACGTGAATTACTGACGGCGTTTAAACATTTATCACTCACTCACTCATTCACTAGGTCACTGAGGATTAGCGAGTTGCGATTATCAATTACTGTAATGCAGTCTAAAATAAATATAGTACTTATATAAGTGTTAATGACTTGCTGCATGGTTAGGGATGCAACTCGGAGCACGCAGGGATGTAGATAACAAAATACAGCTACAGGATGAGGTTGTAATTAAGCCAAACCTTCAGAAATCGTTGTTGTCACGTGTTCATGTGAATGAAATGTAGTCTTTGTTCTATTCAATTGCTGCGTGTTTTGGACAACGCCAAATGTATACATGAGGTTAACATTAATAAAATATGTTGGTTTTGGAGTTTAGGGAATGTTGATATATCAAAATATGAACATAAGCAAGACCTTGGCTCAATATAATTTTCTAAGGAGATGTTGATGCAGAATCACCTTAGTAAAATGTTTAGTGTCTCTTAATTTACAAAACCTTGGCCATTTCTTTTTTCTTTTTTTTTCTATACGTACGAACTTGAACATGCCTTAAATCCCAAACTTGAGAGTATAAGAATTAAGACAAGATGTCAGTCATCGGGTGGCCTAGTCGTTATTGGCGACGCAATTCGCTGTACAGAGTTGCGTCCCTTGGGCATGCCAAAAACCTATGATCGTGGGTTCGAATCCCGGTTCGCCCGATTATGTTTCTTGGTTTGTCAGTTTAATTAAAGCGCATGTGTATGTATATGTTTCTAGGTTTGTCAGCACCGTACCCGTGCTCGTGGGTTTCACCAAAGTGGTAAACGTCTGAGACCTGCATCACTTCGGGCTTTCCTCCCACATCCTGCTGACACACTGATTATTTCATAACAACATTTGACATTTTCAGTTTGCGAAAAAAGATCCTTATGTTACTTCGCCTTTTTCAAAATTAACTCACGGTGGCTGGTAATATCAGAATTCTGCATCTTGTTCACGCCCTGCTTTTTAAGTGCGACGTTAAAGAATATTCATTCACTCACTAACGCTAAAGAAACTGTCCACCTTTTTTATGACCACCAAAACATTGTATCATAACGAAGTCCTTATCTGTGACCCAACCACCTATATTTCAGCATTATCATGTGACATATACAGTATTATGAATATTCCTACGTCACGGATATTTTAATTCTGTGTCTAAACACTCGAGACCACCATTAGCCCATTTATACATTCGCCCATCACCCAGGAAAAACACCTGCTGGGGTTCCGGTCATTAAACCCCTGAAGTTAAATGATGATCTAGGTTCTCTGTGACTTGGTTCTCAGCGGGTCACGGCATTCTGACGAACCGAGATGACGATCAATCTATCAACCCCCGGGTTGACACACACGGGCAGCCATGATACGACTGGAATATTGCTGACTGCAGCGAAATATGTCCAATTTCCAGGTTGAGGTAATCACGGACTAATGACAGATCCAGCTTTGTTCTGCTGTAAATGTTCTGGTACAATTTAAGAAGGGGAAAAATCCTGACGAACCGAGATGACGATCAATCTATCAACCCCCGGGTTGACACACACGGACAGCCATGATACGACTGGAATATTGCTGACTGCAGCGAAATATGTCCAATTTCCAGGTTGAGGTGATCACAGACTTATGACAGATCCAGCTTTGTTCTGCTGTGAATGTTCTGGTACAATTTAAGAAGGGGGGAATTCTGTGATCTGACAGGTGTACCTAACGTATCCCCCTCGCGTTACGACTGCACTGCATGGGTGCCTAGTGTGTAATTCTTCTGACAGGTCGGGGGGGGGGGGGGGGGGGGGGGGGGGGGGGGGGAATTTTAGACCAAGCTACGTACACACTTCCGTGCCGATACAGCCGTGTAGCCCTAGTGATGAATTTAAAAAGGAGTCCAACTCAAGTCTAGAATGATATGGCAAGTCTACATTGCCTCAGCAATTAAGGGTTGTTATTGAGGCGCAGTCCCAATTCCCTTCCACTAAGCGGGTAGCACTCCAGTTCCACTAATCGACATTAGAGCTAAAGTGATGGTAACTCCCCTGACTGTTTGTACATAGACTTACGGCAGTCGTACAACTCTGATATCATTTCGTGGAACATAACCCAGGTTATTACCCCGGCAGATAATGATTGGACTGCTGGTAATTATAATAACTGACTTATATATAATCACCCGATATAAAGAACGTGATTTACGGGACAGTAATTTAGATAGATGCAATTATAGATAGGAAAAGGTCAGCTTATTTTCATGACATATATGGATATACAGATATGTGTATGTGATAATCCACGGATCTCGTTTTACTGTTATATTAAAATATCTACTATTATCCACACTGCAGATTTTACAAGGGCGTGTGTATGATTGGCATAATAGTTTCCTATGTTGTTGCGAGTTGCAGCTGCAGATGACCTTGACCCTAGTCTCCCTCACAGTACCCGAGGGGCGGTCGGGTAGCCTAGTGGTTTAAGCGTTCGCTCGTCACGCCGAAGACCCGGGATCGATTCCCGACATGGGTACAATGTGTGAGGCCGATTTCTGTCGCCCCGGCGTGATATTGCTGGAATATTGCTAAAGGCGGCGTAAAACCAAACTCACTCACTCACAGCCCCTGAACCACATCCCATTCCCTTCCTCCCACCCTGAATGTTATATAGCCCTAAATAAAGCAAGTTTTAGTCTCCCGTCTCACTGGGGTTCCCTTTCCGTTCAAATGGAGTTGCTTGTATCCATCAAAATTATATTTTTTCAGAGACTTAGCTTTAACCTTGACCCGGTAACCTGTCATATGTGAATTCAGTGTTTGTTTTGCATGTGACACATTC